CCACCATTCGATTCGTCTCGATGAGGCGATTCCAACGAGCTATAAATCGTCTTTTTACAATCACTAGGTACTGAGAAATCTAGCAAAATGTTAAATGGCGCAGTAAAAGTAAATCAAAAAATATTATAATACCGATGTTTAACATTTTGTTGAATAACTCGTCAGCCAGTGATTGGAAAAGGATAAAATACCACCATTCGATTCGTCTCAGTGAGACGATTCTAACAAGCTATGATACATCTTTGTACGATTATTAGATGCCAAGTTATTTAATATATTCTTTATATAACTGTGATTATAAACGGTTCTTTTTAATATAAGATTTTTAAGGATAGGTGTGATAGTGACTATAGATAGATTGTGACTATATAGGATAGTTTTTAATAATAAAGTGTTTTGAACATTCAACTGGTGTGACTATATAGTAGAATGTGACTATAACGGGAGTGACTATAGAGGGAGTTGACTGTATATTTTAATAATATTTTTATATTCAATAAAAGATGATAATCTACTATAAAAAAAAATAAAAAAAATATTATAAATTAATTATCTAATTATAATTTTTAAAAATACAATAATTTTTGTATATCTAAAAAATATATTAGGCTAAATAAATAAAATAGTTAGTTTCTCATTCCCGTGCAGGTCATGTGAATGTCGTGTAATGAAAAAAAAATTTATTTTTTTTAGTCATGTGACACCGGCCGGGTGTAAAATATTGTCTTGGAAAAAAATTTTTATATATATTTATTATTAATATATTAATATGCTAATGGTAATAAAATTTATTTATTTACGATATCACTAAATTGCTATTATAATTATATAATATATCTTAGCATTTTTCCCTTTCTGTATATAATATCATCAATCTTTTCTCACTTTTTTCCCTTTTCTTTTGCTCTGAAGTCTCCGAGATTGAGTACTATCCGAAAAATTTAATCCTTTATCTGTTTTAATCGATACGTTTAGATCTGTGGTGTACGCTTCACAGTAAGGATATTGTTTTTCAGGTACAGGCGTAATATATTCAGATGAACCACAGTTAAAACATACAGTTAGAAAATTAGCCGAATAATAAGTCTTTTCCATTTCATCATAATACTCTAGTGAAGCATTTACAAATACTTTTGATAAAATATTTTTTAACTCTTGATTCATATCATTTCGCTTAGTGCATACGTCTCTGTCTTCTACTTGGATAGGGCTTTCATCTCTTTCTGTCTCTTCCTCCTCCTTTTCTACTGATTCCATATTGGACAAAATGTTATCACAATCTAACTTTTCTCTGTGTCATTTTCGAGATGATTCTTCTAAAGAATCATCCTTCAATTCCATTTTAAAACCATTATCATTTTGAGAAAAAGTGGCACCACATGTATAACATACTGTATCAAGGTGTGCCATAAAAATTTTCTTTTCATCTTCTGTAATTTTTTTTGAAGCATATAAACATCTTGATTTATTACAATCCATACATGTTACAGTCATGCCTACATTTTTTGCTCTTTGTGCATTTCCTGTCCATAGCATTTGCTTATCACACCTTTGTTTTTTTTTATGTTTGTCTAATTTTGCTTTACGTGCCTGTATGAATGGACAATATGATCGGTATCCATATGATAAACATCACTAAAGTTTTTATAATGTTCATTATTTGCTGGAACTGGATCAGATAAATGGTCTAATGTATTAAAAATATCTTGTGGACTTCTAATTGGTAAACAAATCTCACAGTCATCTTTGCCACATTTTTTTATTGAAAAAAATAGGAACGCGAATGACAACAGTGGTTAAAGAAATTACTAATTGGCTGTATACAAAATATAAAAGTAAATAAATTAAATTCGTATATTAATTACAATTTTTATACTTAATCTTATTTTTTATATTTGCCCAATTTCTATCATCTTTAGTTAATGTAGGATCTAATTGAAGCATTGAATTTCACAATATATCTATATCCAACTTTGATGCAACTTCAAAGGTTTTGAAATTTTCATCCTTTAATTGCAATCGTTCAAATACATCATTTAATAAAGTAATCATAGGATTCAAGCTTTATTTGAGACCTTCTTTTAGACTGGGAGTTTTTTCTGCCATCTTTCTAATATCATTCATGCTATTACATTTTGACATAATTTCTTCCAACTCCACATCCATTTCTTGACGCATAAGACTAACACATTGTAATCCTAAATTTAAAATAGACATAATTTTTTACACTGGATTTTTCCAGGAATGGCCAGGTAGTGTGCGTACAGCTACTAAGTAATCTAAATCTAATGCTAAAAATAAACTAATTAATGCTAATTGTGTTTTAATAAACTTTACTTGATAATTTGGACCACCATCCGTATATAGAAACAAATAAGGTTTATTTGTTTTAGCTACTATTTCATAGAGTTCTGTAGTATGTCTAGCTGCATTTAATGGTTCAAATACTAGATCTTTTAAGCCCACATAAATCTTACCACGATAAAATAATTCATCAATCAATTGTGGTATTTTGGCATGCATTATGACACTTGGTATGAGTTCACATTTCGTAAAATCATGGTCAGCAACAGCAAATGTTGCTCCATTAGCTACAATTACTGATTTTCCCTGTTCTACAGCAGCTACAGGGTAACCTGGTTCTCTAACTTTGCAACGATGTTTATCATCCATGAAAATTAAATTGGAATATTCTCTATATCTGACTGCCATTTCTCTTTCATATCGGAACAATACTGATGCATAATGAAAATCAGGATGGTCAACTCGCAACTGGCGTGCTTGAACTATATATTTAATATTTAGCCTTTCTGTATAATATTCAGATACCTTTACAGTTTCATTATTAGGACTAAATTGCATTCGTAACCATTGTTTTGATGGAATTGAAGTATCAGGTGGACAAATTTTTGTAACTTGAGCAATTAAATCTTGTACTGATATAGCATGTGATAAATGTACCACTGTTCCATGCCACCTATCATCAACTGCCGCATGTTCTTCAAGATATTTTTCAACATATTTCCAAAACTCAGCATAGCGTTCAGGTCTACCTTTGTTTCAGATTTTTCTATATAGGTTATTACTATATTTAAAATAAATTATTTCAGAGATTTGGTGTTTATAGAAAGAGATATAAAAATCTTATTATACAGTACGGTAGATACTCCTTATATCTTGTGATCTAATGGTCAGAATTTTATAAAATTTTAAAATTAGATAGCTTTTAAAAAGATAAATACATTAAGCAAATAAATTTATTTATTTTATTTTATTACTAAAAGAGTAACATTAAGCAAATAAAAAAATTTTCTCAATTTTTTTTGCTGATATAATACAAAATCACATGACTTAAAATAAATTTGATTGGCTAATGCAATACCTAATGTTAATTAGAATTATACATAATTTTTTATATATAATTTATTATTCATTATAATTATTTAAAGTAATTTGATTAAGTAGTATATTATCAGGAACTTTTTTATGGGATTTATATTTTTTTTAGCAAGTTTTTCTGTGATTCCTTTTTGAGAAATAGACATAATATAAATTGTAATAAATAAAAACTACCAAAATTTTTTTTAAATTTTTTTTCAAAATTTGTTTAACAAAGCATGAGTAAGTTTATAAACTAAAATGATTTATTTGAATAAGCACTATCAAATGATTATTTTTTTTATGTTACACAAAAATCAGTTATTCTCAAATTTTTCCCATCATAATAAATTACTTGAACTTCAAACTTATGTAGCACTAGCAAAATTTATTATTTTTTAATCTAACCCGATAAGTTTAAAAGCTCTTGATATACTTTATTAAATTATCAGTTAGAATTTTAAAATATTATTTTTTGCTAATGTGACATCTTTTTGAAAATGGCACATTATGACTATAAAATTGGGTCAGTTATAGAGATACTGCACTGTAGTAAAATAAGTAAACAAAGGAATAATTTAATGAGTCAGTATTTTTTTACTATAAACTCTATATAAAACTTTTCTGGAATATTTGATCTCATTGGATCTTCAGTTATTTGTTTAATAGAGTAAATATTATATGAGCAGATAAATTTAGATCTATTGTAACCTATTGATACTTTTTAATCAACATATATTACCTAAATAATAGACTTAATAATTAAAATATAATTAAATAAATATAAGTAATTCGGTTTATTATTTTCTTTATTATCTTTTCTTTACATAAAAAATGGTATAATTTTTGTATAGTTCATTTTTAATTTTAAAAGACTTCTATGATTTTTTAAATGTACAGGTATAACTACCACAGTTACTACAACCTAACTTTAATATTTTAAACCAGAATGTAATTCTTCTTATCCAAGCGGTCATAAATATCATATAACAGTTGACAAATCTACAAAATGTTTTTGTTTTAAATGCTAAAACCCAGTTTAATACCATTCAAGCAATATTAAATGCTGTCAGTTCAGAATGCTTAATATACTCAGCAGACAACTTTGAATGCTATTTAGACCACTCAACGTACTCAGCAAATAATTTTAAATGCCATTAGATATGATTAGTAAATAATGCAGACAACCTTAAGGATTACATAAAAAATTCTGAATTGAATACAAACCTTAATGACCAATAATTCTCAAGCATTGTATGTTTTTTTCTGATCATATAATTAATTTTTGCCAAAATAACTAAGTGGATATTTTTATTTTTTTTTATATTTTAGAGAAACACAATCTACTACTTAAAAACTTGTATATATAGAACGTTAAAGAAAAAATATTTTTCCTTTCAAACCTATATCTGGCCAATTTCTCATCAACTGGTCTCAGATTACTTAAGTTAATCAGTTAGTATACTAATTTTAATTGTTTGTTTTTTTTGTGAAATTAATCCTTTGTTTATATTATTATATACTATAAAGGTATTGATATTAACAGGCTTTTAACCTTCAATAATCTACTAATGATTGAAAGCATTTTAATTTAAAAAGAATGATTGAGTAAGTTTTTTCACCTAAAAATAATTTAAACATCTTTTTTATAGATAATTTTTTTTAATTTCTTGTATGAATCTTAGCATAATTTTAAATTTAATTATATAATTTATATTAAATTAATATTAATAAAATTAATAAATAATTTTCTGTTAAAAAATGTTTTAATTAACCTGCATATAATACTTTATCTTTATTAGTTCCAAGTATAAAGAATATTTATGTTAATTATTAATAGTTTTCCTATATATGGTTAACAATAAATTTAGATTTTTTTATTGAATTTGAACTAGGACCTGCTTACTTATAAGATAGGTCACCTCCAGGTCTAAGGTAAAAATCATATATAAAATTCTTTGCAGATCCTACTATAAAAGGGAATTTTATATTACATTGTTATGATTTTTTTCCTTTTTAGCTAATTAACCAATAGAATTTAAAAAAAAAGTAAGGTAAAAACTATTAGTAAAGGGCCAATTTTTTACAGTGACCTTTATTATAAGTAAGCAGGTCCTATTTGAACCATAGAGTGGCTTCCTATTTTTTTTTGAGCTCTTTTAGAAAGCTAAACTTTATTTGACTTGCAAATAAGAAATTATAAACTCATATGTAAAGCTCTGACAAATCAGGTGACCTGACGGGTTGATCCAAAATATTCAGGTCAGGCCATCAAATTCATGACCTGACATGGGTTGGATCAGTGCTGGTCAGTACCCGACCTGACCGTTGACCTAATATATATATATTTGGGTCAAATAAATTAAAAAATGCTGAAACTATCAGTTTTGGCATTTTTACATGTAAAATCAAAAAGAAAAATGCCAGAACTAATGATTCTGGCATTTTTACATATAAAATCAAAAAAATGCCAAAACTATCAGTTTTGGCATTTTTATTTACATGTAAAATCAAAAAAAATACCAGAACTAATGATTCTGGCGTTTTTACATGTAAAATCAAAAAAAAATACCAGAACTAATGATTCTGGCATTTTTACATGTAAAATCAAAAAAAAAATGCTAAAACTATTAGTTTTGGTATTTTTACATGTAAAATCAAAAGGAAAAATGCCAAAACAAATAGTTTCAGCATTTTATATATAAAAACAACAAGTAAAAAATGTTACAAAACGTTTTTTTACAATATTTAATAATAAAACTTCAGGTAACCTGAGTTACCTAAAGTGACCTGAATACTTTTGGGTCAAATAGATCAGGTCAGATCAGAACGGTTTACTCAACCTAACTTGATCTGAAAAAAAATTTCAGTTTGGATTA